TATATATATATATATATATATTATATTTGCATTGTAATGGTGCTTTTTATTTTGCCATAGGCCCAGGAATATATCGTTAAATATATTGTTCAATCTCGAAAGCTGTTTGCTTTTGCAACAGGAGGACAGAATGAGGAAGAATTTAGGTGTTCTATTCAAGAACTTCTGATGTCCATACGCTTCTTCCTATCCAAAGAAAGCAAAGGAGCTAGTGCTTTAGCACAGTCACAGGTAACTGATTTTGGTGTGATTATAAAACCTACAAATAATTTAAACAATGTATTGGCCATAGTAATTTATTTTATTGTTTTTTTCTCGGTGCAAGTTCCAGAATGATAGCTAAAATCTTATTGTTATCTGTAGCCATGTTTTAGCACTTTTTATAAAACAACCTAATTAACAGTTGAGTAAAAAAGGATTTTTACATGAATGGATACCGAAATGTGGTCTGATCTTATTTAACAAACGCACATTTTACACGGACATGTCTGTCATCTCTGAATCATGGTTCTTGATGGAAGAAGAATGTGAACCTCTAGAATGATGACATCTTGTAACTGGATTTTAATCAATGAATTAATGTGCAGGTTTAGGGTGTCCTGGCCTATTTAAAAAATGTGCTCTCTTTGCTGGCTGGAACTCTGTGCAATTCAGGGTACCATACACACTGTTTTATTGCTATGCAACTGTATACAAGAGAAACATATCAATAAAAAATATCTGATTTAAAAAAAAGTGCTCTCATTGTTTTTTAGTTTTGGATACAGTAGGACAGGTTTATCCATTTGTCAAGGTTTTATCACTTATTGGGGACATTGGGGTGAATTACCCCTCTTTGCCCTGGTGACTATTGTTCCTGTCGCAACTCTTTAGAATGGGAGTTATGTTAACTTTGGAAAGATTTTGCTTATTTCCTGTTGCATCTCCAGGACAGAAAGTAAAGCAAAATCTCTGCAGCTGGACACAGGCAGCAAAAAATAACCCAATAGGGGTTTAACTCCACATTATGTAAAACTTGGGAAATTGGCAATAGTTACACCTTAAAGCGTATTTTTAAACACAAATAAAAAGATAAGCAGTATATTTCTGTAACATTTGCACATTTCCTCATGTTTATATGTTTGTGGCTCATCGCATACAGTCCCAACCCATTCCTGGCATCAGTAAAATGAAGAGAATAAACCCAGGTGCTAGGATAACATAACTCCAACGTGCATGTGTAAGAGTTACATTATCAGTGGCCACCTAATGGTCAAAAAAAAAGAATATTCAGGACCCAAAAAAAAGGTAAAAGATAATGGCAACAGTGACAGTGACAGACCAACGGTGGGAAGCTTGGACCTCATCATCCATTTGTAAGTTGAGGAAATTTCAGAGGCAAAATTGTGCATCTACAGTGTGATTAAAAGCAATTATTTTGCTGATCTTGCTGCAATCTGGTTTCATGTAAGGATAACATAGAATGTAACTATATATACAGTAGTCATAAGATGCTTATCTTTTTTTTTCCGTCTCTGTTCTTCCATTTCTCACCACTCCAGGCTGTGTTTCTGAATTCTTTCCCAGCTGTATATTCTGAGCTTCTGAAACTGTTTGATGTGCGGGAAGTGGCAAAAATGGTGCATGATACCCTGGGCAGTCTGCCAGCAGTCATGCATGTGGATGATGCACTTCAAGATGTAAAACTTCAGTGTATTGCAAAAACAGTAGAGAGTGAGCTATACAGCAATCCAGGTAAATATGATAATCTGTGCATAAAGGCGGACAAGCAAATGTTAATATACATTCACACAAATGAGCGAGCAATCTGTTATTTAATATAGATAAATCATTATACAAATCAGTTGAATTTCTTATTTTGTGGCACATTTTATTTGCCTATGTCCATGCCAATTTATTCTATCTGTAGAGAATCATACAGTACCTGAATCCTGATCACCAGAAATGCCCGGTATTAAAATGTGTTGCTCTTTAATATTTTGCCTTACCTTTTCCACTATTTTGTCTCTGAATCTTTACTGAAAAGCATTGCAGCAAGCACACTTCTATTTGCAGACGCCCAGTTTCCCACAAGACCCAATGATCATCTTGGACTATCATTGACATGACCCCTGGACTTCAAGGGGTGTCATTCACAGCTGCTGTGTCCTATGTGATGCATGCAACTATAATAGCGCTAGTTTAATCTGCATTAGAAAGTTACTGCAGAGCCTATCCCCTATGCACACAATATTCTACCTAAGATTCCGGAACTGCAGCAACAGTGTGTGCTGTAAATTGTGTTGCTCTCTCTGCAGTGAATTCTCAGTGAACAGAACTGACTTGTTACATTCCAATGTTATTCGGTTCCATGATATTAAGTAATATTTAAGTAATATTGTGTATTACCCACCTATAGAGAAGCAGTAAGGAGTTGCTCAGACTGTTGTCTGTGCAGTGTGCTCTAAATTGCAAACATATGTAACACACAGCATCTGGTTTACTGTCTTCTACTGTTCACATTTAGGGTAAGCTGTGTGTGATAGTTCAGAAGGACACAATGCCTGCTAAATGTCAATTACTGTTGAGCGGGTGTTACTGCAGTGATGTTCTGGCTCAATCTGACTCTCCCACAGGCCAGTGTAGAGCATTATAAAACGACCAAGGATGGTGTGACCTCTTTTCTATGTTTTTGCTTTTAAGCTGAAAATCATTAGCGATATGTTAAAATAGGATGAAGCAAGCTGCATAGCATGTTGGGGGGAGGTCCTGCTTAAAATATTAAACCTTTTTTTCCACTGAGTTTTGATAGCTTGGGGAAGGTTTAGAACCCCTGTCAAATTTATATTGTTTGTGTCTCCATTGGGAAGAATCATCCCTCTATTTCTAATGGTATCCACCAAGTAAGAGGAAACCAAAAATGTTATAGTTGTCCTCAGAGCAATAGGTAAGAGAAAATCTTTCAATGGGGACACCGGTTTCAGGAAACAGCTGTCTGAGGAAAATTACCATCACTTTGGAAGATTTTTTCTAAACGCCTGGGACAAGAAGTGAAGGGAAATTTCTCAAATGGTACACTGAGAGCACAAAATAACTTGGCAGAGGTTTTAATCCTCCCATTTTCCAAAACTAACAAAAAAAGTGTACATACACATACATACAATGTATCTGCTAGATTTGCACAATTTGCAATTCTATTTGCCATTCCCATACAGAGTACTTGAACTCTGGAAGGTGTGTCCAAAAAAGGCAGGCAGAGGACAAAGGACTAGTCGCCAGTAGCTGATATTTTCACAGTTTACTGAATAAACCCCTTCATTACTGAGGCCTTTTTTTCCCCATTTTTAGTTAAAACACCCAAACATTATATATTTTCTGAAAGCCAAGACCCTATAGAATAAAATGGTGGAAGTTGCAAACTTTTATGTTGCACGATATTAGCGCAACTCCTTATCAAACCCCAAAACACAATAAAATACCAATTTTTTAAATAAAATATAAAAGATGAGGTTACGCCGAGTAAATAGATACCCAACGTGCCCAGGTTAAAAAAGGTGTGCGTCCATGAAATGGCGACAAACTTCAGTACCCTAAAAAGTCCATAGACGGCGCTTTAAAAGCCCCCACAGGTCATCAATTTAGAGATACCCAAAAATACTGTCCCTATAATTATTGCTCTCACTTCGGCGTGCGCGGCAATACCCAACATGTGTCGTTTTCATACGTAGGCGCACCCGATGCATGTTTACGTGGCGACCCGTGTGCTCGTGGGGGCGGGGACTTGAACATTTTTTTAAAATTATTTTTAGATTTATTTTATTTAATTTAAAATTTTTTTTTTACTTCGATTGCTATCACCCCCCCCCCCCCCCTGTTAACGGAGATAG